TCCCAACATGGAAGTCCTTCGTCTGAATTGAGTAGGAGACATGTGATAGTGTTTGATGTGAAGTTTGTAAAGTTCCACACTATCCTCCAATTTCCTGAGCATCTTTCTGTATGCTGGTGTCATGGCTTGCACTTCACTACCAGGCAGTGGAATTGAAACTCGCCTAGGCTCAAGAGCATCACTACCTAGTTTCTCGATTTGACTTTCTGAATCTTGCTTTCCACGTTTGCGCGCAGGTGCAGAAGGTTTTGGTTCAATGACTTGAGGTTCATCTGAATCAATCTTGTCCAAACCTAACTCCCTAGCTCTTTTGTCAAGCTCATCTTCTTCATCAAGCTTGGGATAGGAGACAACAACCTTCTTTCTAGATGAACCTGATTGAAAGTCATCGACAACTTGGGGTTTCTGCTTGTCTTAGCTGCTGGAGGACCTACCTCAATCTTTTTCAAGCTTGGTCCTCTCGAAATCGGTTTGCCTACCTCCTTCTGTGAGGAGCTTGGCTTCTTCTGTACACCTGATGGCGCTGGAGAGGCTGACTCAGGGTGAAAAAGATCATCGATGTTTCCACGAAAGGGCTTTCGATCAAGGTCACTTCTGGCAACATCATCTGGGATAACGTAGTCCTCCTTGATCTTGTAGATGGTCTTGCCCTTCCAGAATTCTTCACTCTGTTCAGCAAATCTCTTCTTCTCTGTGCGTCAGTTGTCCTTGTGAAGAACCTTCTCCTTGCTCTTCTGGTACTCCATGTGTGTCTCTCTCTCATCAAGAAGTTGATCTTTTGGAATTGGAGTTCCTTCTGATCGATTCATCTCGTGTAGATTCTTCCTCTTGTCCTTGTGGTGCCTGATGAGTTCACGACGTAATGGATCAACTTGCCAGTAGTCACCAGTCACCAAAGCTTCTTCTTCATGAACATCTTGTTTGACAGCAATCTGACTGTACTCAAAGTGATCGTGTTGTGAGAAGAAACTCTTGACTTGAGGAGTCTTGAAATGAACTTGGCTCATGTACCATGCTACATCTTGTAGATCGAGAATGAGATGAGTACTGATGGCTGTCTTCAAAACCATTTTTCTCGTGCCAATACGTGCACAGGACAAATAAGCCTTCTCTGGAGTAAGTTCAAATTGAAATCCAAGGTTTCTCATCTGTGGAAGTGACATCAACAGTGGGATCACCTTCTTCGACAATGTCGAATTCTGTGAACTGAGTGTTCCATCCATGATCATACATGAATATCACGAGCTTCTCAATACACTTGGATTGTTGAGAATTTGCAAAGAAGAATCTTGAACTTGTTGGCTGAATTTCATACCAGAGTCCACTGTTGGGATGTGAGTCAACATATCTGCAAAATGCTTCAACTGCTCGTCGAGAGCCCATAGCTCTTGTGCATCCAAGATCCAGGATCTTACAGTTGGTGCAGAATTCTCTGTGTCAAAAGCTAGTCCTTTCTCACATGCCAGATCAGTCTGTACAGTATGAAATGAAAAAGCGCTCTGCTGCTCATGTGATTCCTTTGTCTCTGCAAAGCATTCAGAATGAGATGGTACCTCTATCTCTGTAGAGCATCCATTTCAAAACAATGATGTGCCTTTTGCCAATGGCTTCCATGAAGCCTCACCTTCTTCTAGACCAACTTGCCTGGGCACACGAGCTGGACGTCGTTGTACACCTTGTCGAAGTGCATCAAGATCTCCAACCACAACAGGGAACTTCTTGAGCTCTTTCCTGTTTTGCTGTGCTGTTGCATCACGTTCGTTCTGTCCTCCTCCACGACGAGTGCGTCGATGTACTTCTTGTTCTGCATACGTGGATACCAAAGCATCAACACGTGCTGGTTCAGTCTCTGCAAAAGCAAAGAAACCATGACCAGAACCAGAGCTTGATGCAGCAGAAGAATAATGAGCTTGTTGTTGGTGTTGATTCTGTATGGCAGGAGCTGATGCGGTCTGAGGTTGAACATAGTTTGACTTGCCTTTTCCATCTCCTGGCTTTCCTCCTTTGCCATCATCATCCTTGCCTTTCTTGCCTTTCTTTCCTTTTCCTTTTCCTTTTCCTTTTCCTTTCTTCTGGAAGTACCCATGCTCATCCATGTAGTACAGATCATCATAGGCCCAATAGCCTTCATTCCAGTTTTGATCATCGGCCCAATCGCCTTCATAGGATTCATTCCATTCTTCTCCTTCTTGCCAATCTTCTTCATAACCTTCTTCACTCACCATGTGAGAGCGGCCTTTTCTTCTTCCCTTTCCTCGGCCTTTTCCTTTCCTTGATCTGAAGAACCTTCGTCCTCCTCTGCCTTTTCCTTTTCCTTTTCTCCTTCCTTTACCTTTACCTCGTCTGGTCTGTCTGCCTTGGAACCTTCTCTGATACCATGTGTAGTCAGCGTCATCATAAACCCAGAAAACATCTTCTAAAGCATCCAGGAATCTTTCTGCGCCGTCTTCATCATCTTCGGCCCAATAGCCGTCGGTTCCTTCTAGTTCACCTTCTTCCAGTACGAGGAAAGATCTTCTCTGTGCCATGCCAGAGGGTTGCATCATTGGATTGTCAACTGCTGTTTTGGTAGTGCAAAACATTTCCAAAAACAGATCACGTAGTTCTTGAATGTTGTACTGATCGAGGGTTCGTCCACGATGTAAGTGTGTTTCTCTGATCCTGAGTCAGGTCTGCTAGACTTACAAAAATCAATGCTAGCAAATTTTCACCCAATGGGAATGCCTGTCTTTGTAGTTGTCTACAATGTTCCTTGTATTGTCTGAATGCCACCAATGCCAGTTCGTCTGACCAGGGAATGACTACATGAGGAGCTGCACCTGGTGTTGCTGCTGCCAACTCAGCCTTCTCTGTTTGGTCTCGTTCATGATCTTGTCTCTTCTGTTGAATAAATTGGATTGCTTCAGGATTTGTCACTGATGGTTCTGGAAGTAAATCCATCCAAGACTCAATAAGTCTATTTCCAGTGAGTTGAAATCTAGTCATCCACTTCTGAAGATCCATAGTTCCTCTGTTGAACTTCATGAACTGCATGAAACGGTATAAGAACACGTTCTGGGCACCCTTTATGAAATGAGGTCGTAGAAATCTTTTGAAATAGTTCGCTCCTTCGCTGGGATCCCTGAGCATATCTCTGTCCAATAGCCTCTTGTATTGTTGAGCATCTCCTTCCAGTCGATTGCGCAAGGCTGGTCCACGTTTCTCAGGTTCTAACTCCGTGATGTCACACCAGTCATCGATTGCATCTTCAAAAGCAAAGAAACTGGTTCTCCCATCATAGTCTGCTGGGGTGCTCTTCTCATTGCGTAAGAGTCATATTGGTTCCATCCATCTGCATCGACAATGTCGAAGTCATCTTCATCATAGCCATGGCGTGCCATTGCTGGGCTCTACCTGGAGCTCACCTTCAATGAAGGATCACTGCCCCGCTGCCACTTGAAGAGGGGCCCCAGCGTCTACTTCAAGATCAGCTAAGGCGTCTTCCCAAAACAGCACACACTTTTACTCTCAGGCGTATTGCCAGTCAGTGCGGTGTCCACAGGGTTACTCTATATACCTCTTGAGCCTTGAGGGCGCATATAGATGTGCTCAGTACTCATGCATGTACCTCTGTAGGTATTAGGTCGAAACAAAAACATGGGGACAGTACCGCACCCCCACCACACCACAGGGGGGGAGAGGGACACTACCACACCCCCACCACACCACAGGGGGGGGAGAGGGACAGTACCACACCCCCACCACACCACAAGGGGGGAGGGGGGACCCATCCCATGGGGGGGAGGGGGGTGGCAGGGCCTGGTGCATGTATGTATGTATGTATGTATGTCTGTATGTCTGTATGTCTGTATGTCTGTATGTCTGTATGTCTGTATGTCTGTATGTCTGTATGTCTGTATGTATGCATGTATGCATGTATGCATGTATGCATGTATGCATGTATGCATGTATGCATGTATGCATGTATGCATGCGAGGTATTGCAAAGCACAGTGGTTCCTACTGTTTCCTGAGTTAGAGGCTTGTAGATGTGTCGCGTCTGCACGCGTGGGATTGTTTTCTTAACCTCGCTTCACGCAGGTTCACACTGCAAAGAACCGATGCGAATCACATCGAGGATTGACAGGACTTCAGGTTCCTCTGAGAAACAGGCGCCACGCACTCCATAGGACCACTCCCAACCAAAGATCTGTGGCACAAGATTGAGAAGAGTAAAGCTGGACACGAACAACAAAAAGCTACTTGAATCTACATGAAGATGTGAAGTGAAAAACTGATAAAAACTGTACATTTCTGTATTATCTTGCAGTACGCGTGTTTGAAAATGCCTCGACACCAGCGTGGAATGCGCCACTGCCGGCTATCGATAGCACTCTGTTGGCCTTGACCTGAGCTCTCTGAGCTGATCCAGCGGAGCAAATGCTACAGTGCTACAGCTATGCTGCAGCTACGCCACAACATTTCCATTGTCATTTCACAACTTTCAGAATTTTCATATGACATGCTGTGCCGATACTCTGCTTGGCCCATCTTTTTGAGGCACTCTCCTGCAACTCACGGAGTCTCCTGCCATACTCTTCACATCTCTTCACATCACGAAATTTCCGAAGGGGCACCGTGATCACCACCTTCAGGCATCTTCACCATGCTCCCGATATCTCCCGATCTGAAGTACTGGCAGTATTGGCATTTCGATCGTGATCAAAGGATTCATCACGATAGAGTCTTCCAAGAGCACCTTCCGAAGACATAGGACATCATAGGTCATAGGATATCACATAGGATATCATAGGACCATTCCGACCATTCCCATCCAAAAATCTGAAGCGATTTGGAAGGCAGTTCTAAACGGAGTGGATGAATTTTCTGAATGCCTCACAGAATCAGGTTTGTATCAGGTTTGTATCAGGTTATTCGTTGCACCCGTTGCACCTGCTCAAGATGTTGCTATGGCCGTCATGTCTAGAGTCGCAGGTCTTAGCAGGTCTCCCTTAGCAGGTCTTAGCACCCTTGAATCGGCGTTGGAGCTTGGACCTCACGAGAAAGGCATCTGATTGGATAAATTGGACAAGTCATCTCAAGTCATGCACCGAAGAATGGCAAATATGTATTAAATATGTCGTGTTGGGACCCTTCTAGGGTTTCTTTGGTGTCTATCTGCTCTGCGTATCTCTGCGTGACAAGAAACAAAGCGCTGCAAGTAATTTTGAAGTCCCACATCGGCATAGTCTGGATGAAGTGCGAGCAAATTGCCTCCAACATCCACTTCAGGACGAAAGGAATAGACACGAAAGAATTCAGGTTCAACTCGCAACAGCATCGGGAGGTCCCCCTTCTCACCCATGAGGTATAACTTGTAGCCCAAGGCGGTCAGGTACATGGCAATACCATATTGGCCCCATTGGTTCTCATCATGTCTGCTGTCTGTCCATGTTCCGCCAAGCTCAAATTGAAAGACCGGGAAATTTCGTCGATTGGATTCCAGTCTCATTCCACGAATGACGTTGGGTTCTTTGCCTTCCACGTCGATGATCACATAGCTGATCCGCTCCAGATGTTCCTGACGATTGGTGCTAGTTGGTACTAATTGGTGCTAACTGGTGCTAATTGGTGCTAATTGGAGAGTCCAAACCTAGTCTTCATAGTCCATTTATGTCCATTTAAGAAACTTGGAGGAGAAGAAGAACAAGGGTTTTGGCTGACATGAGGTATATGAGCATATAGTCGAGTCATATCTGGCGCAACACAAAAGATTTGTAATCTCTCTCGGAGATTCTTGCGCTATGAAATCTGCAAGCGGGATTGTCTCCACCGTTTCATTCAGCAAGTCAGCGTGCTTCCACTTGCCAACAGGCAGAAATAAACCTGCTTGTTCATGAGCACCGTGAGGCATCGTGATTTGCAAATGCTGGACAGTATCTGACCATCCTTTCCTATGAACAGTGACCAAGGGAGAGTCCTGAAAACGTTTGAATTGGATTTCAAACAGTCTCTGTTGAATCTCAAAGATATGCATTCTCGCCTTGCGACATGCCTGTAAGACCTGCGAAGTTGATGTTCCTTTGTTAGCTCCTGCCAACAAAACCAAAGCAGAACGATTTGCACCGCCATCACCACTGCATTGCCCTTCCTTGTCATAATATCGCATGACGTGGGACATCGTTGCAAAATCTGCCTTGTTCCCAAACGCTTCTTTCTTCTCTCGGAAATACTTCACCTGTCCCAGAATTTCAGATGTCCACGTTCGTCGCACAGTCAGATTTTCAAGCCGGTCGATATATCGGTCCAACGATGATGTCGTCCATGCATCTGCGGGTTCATCGAAAAGCCTCCCAAACCCAATTCGATCCGTCTATTTCTCAACCCTGCTGCGCTAGAGCTGCTAGTGTGTTTTACCGTTGCAATGCTCAGCACAGCAACACAAACCCATGCCATTATTTTGACTGCAAAAAATACATGTCATGGTGGAAAAAGGGATGCACTTGGGACGATGATTCGAAACTGTTAGATCTGTTCACTTTTGAAACGTACCACGTATGGCCGTGGTTTCTCTCCAGACCTTCCCGATGGATCACCAGCAGTCGCTGGAGTCACTGGAGTCGGGGGAGGGTTCCAACCGTTCCAACCGTTCCAACCGTTCCAACCGTTCCAACCTGGCCGCCATGGCCCAACAGAACAACAGAACATGAACATCCCGACATCCCGACATGTGACAATGTGGCATGTGAAGATGCAGGAGAACCTAAAACCTGGTGCATTCGGTGATGCTGAATGAAGGTGATCCTTGGGTATTTGCATACACAGATGGAATAAAATGAATAAAACAATAAGGAGTTCATAGGAGTTCTGTTCCGTGTTCAGGTTCCCTTCGCGAACAAAGGGTTTTGCACCACCCAACCTGGCAATGTCGAGAGCAGCGTGGTGGCGATGACACCGCATGCAAAGGCCAGAAACTCACGAAAGGTCGCGCGGCATGTCATGAACGCCAGAAAACTTCAATCAAACATTGACCATACTTAAGTTATCAGTTATCTTGAGCTCCCAGAATTGGTACGTCAGGAATTTCAGAGGCATTTAGAATTTGAACATGCTTCAATGCCAAAAGACATTCTGTGTCCTAAGGCACCAAGGATTGCTAGTTGCTTTTGCATTGCTGCTTTTTGCACTGTCTGTTTGTCCAAAGACTTGCGTAACGCAAAATAAATGAAATGTAATGAAATACAAGTTGGGTCCACCGTCTTGAGCAACAGAACGGCGTGGTTCCAAGTTCTCGATATTATGCTTCCACAACTTGGATCAACTTGGGCCCGAGCAAAAGCTTCATTGAGATTATACACGTGAACCTCAAAGCCCCGACGTGCTGTGCGACATGAGGCAAACATTGAAAGCCAAAAGAAATAAAATAAAACTATATATGCAGAATCTCTTTGCAAAGAAACCCCAAGGAAAAATCAAATGAATGTCACCGCCAAGCAACTAGGACGGACGAAGTGGTCAGTTCATCCGAAGACCTTGCTTCAAAGGATTTGGGCGGGTGAGATACTGCAACGGTACTTGGGCACGGACATACTTCGACGGTTTTTGTCCAGAAGTTTCAGTGCAGGCGCCGCTTCTGCCTTGCGATTTCAGATACTTTCGGGGCTTTTGAGAACACAAAATTCGCACAGATTCTCTGTTCAATTCTCTATTCAATCCTCTGTTCAACACAAGCATGGCCTCACTTGGCAGCGCCATTCGCATCTCCTGCACTGTGCGTAATGCTGCAGCTGACTCGTGGTGTAATTGGTGTATGAAATTGAGCATTGCCGTCAGAGGGGATGAATCATTTCCATCCACGGGAAGAGACGAGAAGTTTATCCACTCAATGCCAGTAAACTATATTGAAGGCTTTCACAGTGCCATGCTCTGATTGTACATGACATTTGCCAAAATCATCCAGATTGAATCAAGTTGACTCTTTAAATCTCTGTAAAATCTCTGTAATCCATTTACCTGGCAGTTACTATACTCATGTCACATGTCAGTACTCTTTGTTGCCACTGACTCTGTGTCGTCCTTCAGCAGCTGGTCCAAAGGAAGCCGCGCTAACACATCTTTCTCCTCAGATTCCTCGACAAAGTACGGAAGATATCCGGAAGAAACGGGAAGAAACGGGAAGATCGACGTGAAGATATCATAGATGAATCATACACTTATGTCATACACAATGCGAGTAATGCGAGTAACGAGTAACGATACAATGCACATGAAACCACCACACTGTCACAAATTGTCACAATTTGTCACAAATTGTCACAAATTGTCACAAATTGTCACAAACTGTCACAAACTGTCACAAACTGTCACACACTCAAAAGAGTGCGCAACGCGGGAAGTGCTTTTGAGCTTTCGATCAGTCTCAGTCAAGACGCTTCCCAATCGACTTCGTCCACTTCCCTCTTGGTGGAAATAGGCAGGCTGCCGCGCAGCTGCTCACCAGATCTCGCCACAACCTCATCGTTTCCGAGAGGGGAATCGATTGGTTACAACTTGGTCCATGTTTGGCAATTCAGTTTAATTCACTTATCTTAGCATAGCATACCAGTATCTTAGCGTATCTTTGCCATATGACATCAAAGTCATGAAAGCTCACCCCTCTCTGTCTGTACATCCGTGTCCTGCCTGCGATGGCATGGACGCCAATGAGCTCAGCATGGCTTCCGTAGACTGCCGTAGACCGTGGGAAACTGCGTGGGAAACTGCCGTAGACTGTACAACTATTTCGACTTCGACTTCCCCAACTCCTTTGGAGCTCGAGGTTCAAAAGCACCTGTTGGCCTCAACCATTGCGGGACTCCAAGATCACTACAAACAACAACAGACAATGATGCATGAATGATGCATGATCGTGCTGGTCGACACAACAGCAAAAATGAAGGCACACCTGGCACAACCTAATATCTTTTTTTTCAGTTGCACCATCTCAGTGAACACTCTCCTTCCGTCTTGAAACAACCAGGATGAAGTATCACACACCAGTGCATGTACATCAACAAAAACCAAGCAGCTTCAGGCTTCAGCACAATTCTTTTGGACAGCGCGACCTACTTTTTTTGTGCACGCAGTGCACGCGGCACCTTTAGTCTGCACAGTCGCTCAGAGGGAACTTCCTGGAGCTATGGACCATCACGGGTACACAATGGATCACAATGGTCAGGGACGGAGACAGAAAGAGGGATTGGATGTGATTGAATGCATTGGAATGCTGTCATGGACTCCCAAGTGGGCAACTCTGGACATCATTTGTCGAGGAAGCAAACTAGTCATTGTTTGTTCGTTTCAATCCTTGCAGACTTCGACGTATATCAAAGCCCGATCAGTGGAAATCCCAGTCCTCCAACCATTTTTTCAACGGACTTCGACACGTTTTTTCAAGCAAAGTCACGGGGTCGTCTCTGCCTTAGAGTCAGTCGCCCCGCCTTCCTTGTTCGAGTCCCAGGCTGCCAGACGGTTTCCGTTGTTTTGCTTAGCCACTTGGCTGTGGCATTCTGCGTTTATTGGCCAATCTCAAGTCGTTTTCGGTGCACAGCTTTCTGCCATTCTGCCAAACTGAGACTCTCGCATGACGACCAGAAGCCGTCCCAAACCACCACTTAGAACTTGAAGAGAGGCACCTAGCAGCCTGAGGAGCAAAATGGCCAAAACAAAACAAACAAGTCAAACGCAAACAACGGGAATCATTCGGAACAATCAATAGTGCCACAAACCACATGAAATATTGCGACACAAAAAACCTCAAGTTTGCAAACTTCACATGTTTGCATTCTGTCGCTGCATGCAGGTCACGCGTATCAGTCAGGGAACACAAATCACAGGTGTCACTTCGCACATCACTTGGTCTGCCAAAATCATCTGCAACTTTCACTTTGGGCCCCTGACTTCAAGTCGGTATGTTGCGGTATGAAGTCGACGTAGCCTGTCATGGGATGCCACCATCTTTACGAAAAAAATCCACCTAAGTCCACCTAACTTTGAAGGGCCAAAGTCCTGTCCGAGAGTTGAACCGTGTTTTGCTGTTGCATTTCCGTAGTCGTTTCGTTTCAATGTCCTGTAACTTTTACGTTTGGTCCTGACATGTTCTGTCCCTCATCTCAATCTTGGCCAGTCCGACGCATCTCATCCAGCAGCAGTGGATCGCGTGTTGTCTCAGAAATGCAAAGCCTGGGCGAAACAAAGACAATCCGAGACAACTAAAGTAACTAAAGACAATACAAAAGAAGTCTCCAGAGCTAGAGATAGAGCAAAAAAAACAGATAAAGCGTACATGGTAACATGATGCAAGATGTCAACAATGTGGCTTGCGGTGCCAAGATTCTCTTCAACACTTGGAAACTCGACACGTTCGACACGTTCCACCAGACGCGCCTTGGATCCTTTTTCCGTCCAGCTTTTGGGTGGCAGATGTCGTGCATATTGGGCCTGCGCGGGACTGTTAGATACTCAAAATATTCAATGAAGTGTCTCAAGCAACTCAAACATCCCCGCTTGGACTATTCTTAGCCTTTGACATTGCTAATGAAATCTCAATTGGGTTGATGTCTGTGAAACACCGCCATCGCCTGCTGTTTTCAGTACCCTGCTCCACTGCCGCCCGGTCAATGCCCAGGAAATCTGCCAAGTCCACTGGAACCTTTTTGCCAAAAAGCCAAAAAGCTGATGTTGTGATGTTGAGGCCAAACAAGATCAAAACTCAAAGATCGAGCAAGATCAAACAAACCAATAATATATAATTCATCATATGTAAATCATATAAATATATCAATCAAGTTCTTCATAGCTTGGCATTGCTATCGCTGGGCGGCCAGCCAAGAAAACCAATCGGCCACCATCTCGCAAGCTCTCCGCTGCAAAGTTCAGTAAGTCTTGGGAGAGCTCATCCTGGTGAAACAAAATCAACGAACACTGCATCTGGCGTGCCTGGCGTGCCTTGAAATTGACGAAAGGAAACGCAAAGCACCACAAAGCACCACAAGCAAAACAAAGCTAACTAAAGCAAAGTAAAGCAGAAGAGACTGTGCTATACCGTGCTCTCAGTCTCGGCAACTTGGAAAATGGATTGCATTCCGATGTGCAACACTGTGCTGCGCCTCTCCATACGAGACTTTGGAGGGTATGTAGCTGTTGACGTCCTAAAAACCAAACAAAATGCAAATGCGACATGATTTTTCTTTCACTGAATCTGTAAGGTCACTCACTTTTTCACCCTGATAAAGTCAAATTTTCTTCAATTCCTTTGGCCAACAGGGAGCCTTTGCAAATTCTGCCTGTTGCTTCCGTTGCACTTACGCACAGCTCACAGCGATTCGACTTGGATTAGTTGTAGAAGTGCAGTGGCATGGCACCTTCACAACGACTTCCTTGCCCTCACGGCCCTGCTTCTTTGCGCCGGCCTTTCTGAGACTCTCAGATGACTCTAGATGACTCCCAGGACATTTTTCAAGACACATCTGCCAACTGCAAACACGTTTCGTTTCGCTTTCCGTTTAATGCTCTGCACTTTCTACTGTCTGAGATTTTCTCTGAAAAACCGGGTCTGACACTCGAACACCATAGGGTGGATCTGTCACAATAAAGTCCTTGGCAGGGCAAGTCTCCATACAGGTCCCCCACAGCAAATTCACAGTAAAGATATGCAAAGATCAGCATAACCTGGAAACCAGGACCAAGCAAGTGGACGTCTGAGGTCCCAACAAGCCATCCACCTGCTGGCTGTCGCCAGCAAGGCATTGCATTGTCGCCTTGGAAGGCCCAAGGGGCCCAAGGCACAAAAGTGAATTCTATCTATCTGAATCTAACTATATAGCTTGACTTAAGCTAACTGAACCGAACTTAACCGAACCTGACCGAAGCTAACTAAACTAACCTAACTTGACCACACCCAACTGACCTAGCCCAACCTTACTAGGCAAACTAACTATCTATTTGATGAAGCCAACTAATCTAATTCTACTATACAACGGACTCCAACAGTCTCCCGGAGTCCAACTGAGTCCTCTGACAAACGACGACCTCTGGAGACGGCAAGTCATACTGTACCTCAAAACATCGACCAAAAATGACCATGTGTCACTATGTGTCCATATTCTGTCCAATCCATCAGACAGCGACCGAAACTATGGACAGAATATGTGTTCATGCTTTCTATGAAGAGGTCATTTCCATTGCCTTGTGTAAGTTGATCCTTTGTGACGTTTCAAAAATGTGACATGTAAAACACCAAGGGTGCAAAGTTGGTGAAGATATTGCAACCTCCGGCGTTGGCGAGGGCGTGGTCCTGCATCGTATTTGTCGGATCGTCAAGTTGCGTCAAGTTGACCGTGCCGTGCCCGACATGTTCAAAATGTTCAAACCTTCTCCGCACGAGCATTGGGATTCAGCTGCTTCGCCTTTTTCACCTCGGAATTCGAGCCGAGTCTGTCACCAAGTCCACATGGACGAGCTGTTTGGGGCTGGGTCGCCGCACTCCCTGCACTGGAAGCCTCAGCAAATCTGTGGCAACACAGAGACAGCAAGAATCAGCAAAAATCAGCAAGAAAGTATTAATTATTAAAATTTATTAAGAATTTGATGAGATAGTCCCAAAGAATCCTTCTCTCAGGAACTTGCTGGTCTGCCAAGTGTCACGCAGCGCTTTGGCTCCGGTGAGAGCTAAGCTTCGATCCCAATGTTGAGCAAGTAATTCAAATGGTACGAATTCCTGAGGTGGTCAAGACATGTCAAGACATGTCAACAGGCGTCAAGACAGGTTTCTGTTTCTGTCTGTTGCTGTTTTTGTTTCTGGGCTGCACCAAGTTGCAAGTCCAATAAGTAATTCAATCAGTTGAATCGTTCATGTGTTTCGCAAGCTCTTGGTAGCCAGCGTGTCAGGAGGTTCCTGCTTGCAGGCTTTGGCAGTACTTGAGCCTCGCATCCAGAGGCATCGACGTAAAATCAACGACAACATCCAAAGAAACCGATATTGGAGGAAAATGATGGAAAATTGAGATGGCAGAAATATCGTCAGCATCGTCGTCAACTTTGGATTTGCTCGGAACAACTGACTGGGCACAAAGCAATCTTCAAACATGTTGAGAGGTGGCTTATCTCATGGTGATGTCCAATGCTGCCATTGCTTAGTGGTTTGATGATTCCTGCACCTTTCAAAGGAAGCACTCCTCCCACAGCCTCTAATACCAATCTATACATAATATCTATAGCATTCTATTGTGTTGTATAAATCTATATCCAAATGGTCCAAATGCTTTTGTATCGGTTCCTATCGGCGAGCCGCCTGTGCTTTGCAGGCCCCTCTTTTCTGCAGCCTCCAGAACAGCAGCCTGGCACCCAGCCGCAGCAGTGCGTCTGTCGTTTGAGTCGTCTGAGTCCTGTGATGTCCTGTTTACCATGCCATGATGCCATGGTCACGCTGCCATACCACTCTCGCACTCGCTCCGACCGGCCTTGTTCTTCGTGTATGCTATCCTGGACGACCGACAACGTCGTGGCCTAAACACGAAGAACACCTCAGTCACCTCCCCTGGCAGCGCTAGGTGTCCTCCAACCTCTCACAACTCGGATGTCGATCTCTCCACCAAAAAGTTTCCTGTGAAGAGCAAGGCAGCACACTGTGTACACACTGTGTACACCGTGTACACTGTGTACACACTGTGTACACTGTGTATGAGGGTAAGATATGAGACTTCTTATAGGACTGATCAGCTCTCAGATTGTAACCAGCTGGGACCCAAACGCTCCAAAGTGCGTCATGGCTAGAAGTAAGCCACCAGTCCTCTGGAAACAGTTGCAGTCCAGGTAGCATCCCATGTTTTCTGTATCTTTCCATTTCAGATTGTGCTTTGCCTCGCTCTCAGAAGGTGTGCATCCTTCATCATTCTTCGCTTCTTTTGACGTATTTGTTGCCTGCAAATTCCCTTTGATCCATATCTCACACCCCTGGAATCCCCTGGATACCTAATACATCCTAATACTATATGACTTATATGACCATATAGATATCTCAATCATCTCGTGGATTCTCGTGGATTCTCATCGTATCTGTGGTATTCTGTGGTAAGCATCACTTCACCACGTTCCAGTCCCACAGAAGGGATCCATGCCATACTGCCCAGACCTGGACAGCGGTGTCCACTAACGCAGCACAGATCAGCAATCAGCACCGTTCTTGGGACACGCACTCGACGCGTGCGCAGTTCACCATGATGAAGGCCAACTCATTCCTGCACCGCACCGTGTGCGTTTTAAACGTTTTTTGCACATTTCGAATCGTTTGATTTAAACAAAAAACATGATCAAACCTGATCAAACCGTTGTTCATCGTTTTCCATCTGGTGACAGTTCAAAATGTTCAAAGTGTGTGCTGCACAACACTACGCAGTTCTACTCTCTTTTTGTGCAAAAAAACTTACGTCCTGGCAGGGTGAAAGCAAAAATTATCCACTTGACCCATGGTTTTTGATCATTTTCTGGCAACGCATTGTCCAGGTCCTCCAGGTGTCATGCCATGCTCTGAGTGCCGCACTCCAAAGTGGTTGGTCCAAGTACTGCTCGCTTGGACAGGTCGTAGCGGTGAAAGTAGCACTGCGACGAAGAACATGAAAACATGAAAACATGAACGTCCCATTGAACATGAAAACATGAAAAATGGGCTAAAGAACAGCTATCGTCCCATTTTTCACTGAGCCAAGTCCGACTGAGTTGGAAGTCACAACTTGGGCAAGGATAATTGCAATTCGACACCCAGTGAGTTTTGATAGGAAAAATCCACGGTTCAACAGATCGCGCCAGGACGTGCCGTGGCCTTCTCCCCCCCTTTCAACTTCTTGTCCACACTACGTCCACCAGCCACCTGCCGAAGCAGAAACTCAGACCCTGGTCCAGCACAGTCCACACCAGATCTGCTGTGAATTTTGGCGGAATTAAGTTTTGCTCTCAGATGCCTCAACATTCTACTTGGCTGTCCACACCTGGCGACCAATGATGACACGCTGAGGCCTGTCAGGCAAAAAGAACACGGAGATTTGCCAACTTGCCAACCTTTTCTTAACATTTCTCTTCTGGTTGCTCTTACTGTTTTTCCGTTGTACTTCAATGTCGTCCTGAATGTCCAGCCTGCTTTTTCGCGGCCCCAGGTGCGTTTTTTCATCGCTTTCGTGCCGGTGCTCCTTTCGGTTTGCTGTGAAGCACGAAGCTAGTCACCATCAGAAAAGGATATAAAGGACTACAAATGACAAACATTGCGAAACAGTTTGCATGGTGCACTTGTTAACCATCTCCACATCTCCATCCCATCTTGTTGACAAAATCTGTCTGCTCAGCCCTTCTCAACGTTGAACCTTTGAAACCAGGACTCCTCCAGGACCCAAAGCATCGTTTCTGGAGACTTCAAGTCCACAACCTGTACGATCAGAGGTTGATCATGTACACTGTCAATGCACGATGACCAAATGAAATTGAGTGTTCATACTTTATTTTTGAAGAAAACTATTGGCCGATTGGAAAAATTATCCATTTGAGCAAACCTGATGCTTTGCTATAGCAAACCTGATGCTTTGCTATAGAAACAGCAAATATTTTTTGTAAGAACCAAACCTGCGTGCCGTTGAGACCTTGCCTCGTCTCCATCGAAAAGCGGTCGGATTTCTTCCATGATCTCTGCTTTATCCTGGCGCTGAAAACTCCACAAAGCTGTGGCTGCCAATCCGCGACTCCGACTTGAACAGCAGCAAAAAATAGAATTTGAACACTCATGTAGCAACCGTTTCTGTAGTTTTCTGTGTGATGATGCATGCGGTTGCAGAATGTTTGTAGAACGTTTAGAGAATGTTGCAGAATTTGTGAGTTTTTTTCAGCCATTGCCTGTCTGCTCACCTAAAATCTCAGAAGTTCGAGCTCCAAACCGAGGCGGACCGAGACTTTGCTCGGACTCAGCACGTGGAATGCAAGAGGATCGCCGCTCGTGCACCTCCTCTGACCGCGGAGTTGTACCGCTCTACCTGGAAGGAAACATAAGAGAAAACAAAACAAACGATAAACAAAGTTATATGTATATGTATGTATATATATGCATTTTTGTATATGTATATATGTATATGTATAAATGCATATGTATATATGTATGTATATGTACGTATATGCATCTATGTATATGTAGCTGTGTCTGTATATGTAAATATATCTGTAAATATATATTTATTTGCATATGTGCATGTATGTATGTATGTACGTACGTACGTACGTACGTATGTATGCTTGTATGTATGTATGTATGTATGTATGTATGTATGTTTGTATGTATGTGTGTATGTATGTTTGTATGTATGTATGTATGTATGTTTGTATGTATGTATGTATGTATGTTTGTATGTATGTATGTATGTATGTTTGTATGTATGTATGTATGTATATGCGTGTAAATGCTTGTATATGCATGTAAATACATGTATATGCTTGTATATGCATGTAAATGCATGTATATGCATGTCTATGCATGTATTTGCATGTATATGTATGTATATGTATGTACATGTATGTGCATGTATCCGTGTGTATGTGTATGCATGTAAATGCATGTATATGCATGTCTATGCATGTCTATGCCTGTCTATGCCTGTCTATGCCTGTATTTGCATGTATATGTATGTATATGTATGTACATGTATGTGCATGTACGCGTATGTATGTGTATGTATGTGTATGTATGTGTATGTTTGTGTATGTATGTGTATGTATGTGTATGTATGTGTATGCATGTACATGCATAAATCTAGTACCAACCTGCATTTTGACGACTCTGCCACGGCAGCTGAGTCACAGTATCTGCAATGCCTGCCTCGAGCCGTTGAAAACCCTACACCCTTCACGCGTGCCTGGTTTGTATATCTTTATATATTTAGTTGTTGTGAATTTAAAAAATATGTACGTATACATAAATACATATAATTATATATCAAATTTTATACTCTATATTATATATTTATATGTTATATACACTGTATATTTGATGTATATATATATATATTATTTTATATATATATACATATATTTTTTAAAAAAACACATATTAAATTATATACTATATATTTAGATTTCATAGAAATATTTATGTATTAAGTATATATATATATAATATTGTATATATAGGACTCAGCTCCTGCTCGCATTTTTCATGCTAGACCCGAAGGTTTTCTGATCCTCTTGGCTTCGCCAAGTTATATTCTTTTGGAGCCAATTTGGCATGGCTCATTTGAAACACTAAGGTCAATGGCATGACCCTGTTGCATTTGCAAAAGCAGGTTCGTACCCAAGTGGCATGGGTGAATCCTGCTGGAGACTGCCTTGCTTTGAGCTCAAAAAGCAAACATCCTTGCAGGCCAGCTCCATTATTTATGAATTAAACACCAAAATTTCCAACGCTCTCCAAAAAGGGACTGGGAGAGGCGGGCTTGCTTGAACCTACAAGCCACCATTAAACAAAAAGCTTCACAACTTCGTCCTACATGTCGGCACGACTTCATAGGACTCAGCTCCTGCTCGCATTTTTCATGCTAGACCCGAAGGTTTTCTGATCCTCTTGGCTTCGCCAAGTTATATTCTTTTGGAGCCAATTTGGCATGGCTCATTTGAAACACTAAGGTCAATGGCATGACCCTGTTGTATTTGCAAAAGCAGGTTCGTACCCAAGTGGCATGGGTGAATCCTGCTGGAGACTGCCTTGCTTTGAGCTCAAAAAGCAAACATCCTTGCAGGCCAGCTCCATTATTTATGAATTAAACACCAAAATTTCCAACGCTCTCCACGTCCCCCCCCATGGCCGTCAAGGCCGTCATTCAAGGCCGGAAGGCAGAGGAAGGACAGTGATTTGAAAATTGTAAGATCCGGCGCATCTCCAGCGGGTCCACCCGCAGACGCGGGATTTGCGCCAGACCATCCTGTAAATAAAGACGCGCAACATTCAAACTTCTCCATCTCCCTCTCACTAATATCACATCCAAGGGAAGCCCCTCCTGAAGGAGGTATGTTGCTCCTCCCCTTCTCAGGGAGTAAGGTTTCATACTGAGATGACTGATGCGAAAGAAGCGCATATAGTCGGAGAACTTTTGCCGGAAGCACTGGGCGGAAAATTCCCAGAGCTTCTGTCCCCGACTGAACATCGATACGCTGGCCAGGGTCCTGAGCAAATTCAGGACCAGCGGATCGCGCACTGCGACAGCTTCCTCAGTGCCTGTCCGCAAGCCAGATTTGCTTGAATACAGAGTAATAACTCCTGTAGATGTAGACAGTTCAAGGTCCTTGAACTGAAGGGCAAGCAGCTCGCCAGTGCGGAGAAGGCAGTGGAAGCCCAGAGCCACCAGGGCTCCAAAGGCAAGCTCATGCCGCTCCACGGCACGGGCAACCACCGCCTTGACAATCCACACCGTCATTGGCGGGGCTCGTTGAGGAGCCTCAACTTTACGCCACTGCCTGAAGAGCCGCCATGAGTGCCGAAGCATCCCACGCAGCTCGGGCCAGTAGAAGTGGAGCCCGGATAGCACATCTGCAATCCAGCCCACCGTTTCGCCTCGGCTCCACTGTAACTCCATAAAGTCACTGACCACACCGTCCATATCTTGTAAATTGTGCTGGGCCTCAAGGAAGGGTAATATTCGCCCAACTGCAGCCTCATAGCGCAACCTGGTCTTCTTTGTGATGGTAAAGTCACGGAGTCTCACTCCTTTCCTTTGCCTTTGGCGACCCTCCCTTGTCTTGGCAGCCAGCACAATGCGCGGCAAGTGCCTCGGCATTATGCACGGCTGGCCTCATCTGTCGGATTCTCTTCAGACGGGACGTGCGCGTGCAGCAACGTGGCGTTCATTGCAAGTTGCACCGCCCCAATTTGGTTAGCAAGGGGTTGCAAAAGGTCACTTGAGGTTCGACCCTTAGACAAAATAAAGAGACAAACCATACTGTCCTCCAAGTGGAGCCAGCGTTTACCTACCTTTGAGGGGTCCCTTGCCTTCCAAAGCAAAGTGTTGAGGATCATTTTCATCTCCAAATAGTTAATGTGAGATTTGAAAAGCCAGCGCACTTTAAAGAGGTGTTTCCACTGCCACCACCACGCTCGAGCCGAGGCATGAGCAGCAGGCTTGTTCCCCAAAACGGCACCTGTGGTGATTCTGACATCACAACCTGTATGATTAACACTTAAGCCAAGGTGCCGTGTGAGCTCTTCCAGCATGTAGGGCCTCTCGGCGTCGCCACCATAGGAGAGCAGCCTCGACATAGGAACATCCACCGAGGGGTGGGCAGAACAACCTGGTGCCAGCCCAAGCCGTGCAATGATCTTAGCCGGTGGCATCCTGGGGGCAAGCTCGCAGGCCATCTGACTTGCCATGACGGCGAATGATGGGATCGAGAAGCTGTCGCCACATAACGAACAGCGGGCATCCTCGTAATCCCGCCAGTTCTTTTTCGCTTCCGATGCACTCATGCATGTGCTGGTGTGGCCAGCGCCGAACCCCAGGAGGATTTCTCTCTCACTGGAGTCCAGCAAGCGCGGCTCCTTGCCAGCCTGGTGCAGCAAAAATTGTTCCTTGTATTGATATGGCGGATAGCGGAACTGGTCCAGCCGCCATCTCTCTTGAGTCTGTTGCGACGTCCGCTCCAAGCCTGCCGGTGCGGGAGGCGGCCGAGACCGCTTTATACTTTTCATGAAAGTGGGGAAACAAGCGCCCTGATGAGCCTCCCAAGTCCAGCCAGGGCGGATCCACTGATGAGTCTCCACACCTGGCCCGGACATGTAAGCCCGCACGTACTCCTTTTCCGTCCAAAGCTGCAACCCTTCCATTTCAAACAGTGTTTCTGAACTCCATGCAAACCTTGGTCGACTATAGGGCAGGACATCGCTCGGATCAAGCTTGATCGGCGACACCTCGAGCTCCGAGGAAATAGTCTGCCGCGCCGCTTCGTCCATGGAGGCCACGTTTTCCACGCACCACTTGACCTTGGCCTGGACAGAGAAGACCTGCTGCACCCACTGGATGACTTCAAGCAACTTCCAAAAGAGCCTAGAGCCCTCACCTTCCAGGTTTCGCCTGAATGCCCTTGCGGACGACAAGTGCACGCATGGGAAGCCTGCGAACATGTGCACCTCTACCACGTGAGGAAAAAGGCCTGCCCATCGTTCAATCTCCTTCAGGTCGATCAGCTCAACGTCATGCAGCTCGATCATGTCGGGCCAGGCGGAGCGTGACACCCTGTTGCCCGTCCGGCTGATGTCGACCGAGATGCGGCCAGCTGGGATAATTCCTAAAATGTCGTACAGACGGAATGCCCCGCCTATCCCGTTAAAAAGGGATATCACCAGCAAAGGCCTATCCAAAGGGGCTAAACGCAGGTCGTTGCGCAGCCCCACCAGCGACCTGCCAGACCAGGTCAAGCCGGTGGCCACCGCGCAAGCCCCTCCTGATTCCGAGGCATCAGACACTGTCACCTGACCATCGTAAGTCGCCATCAAGTCTGCTTGCAGCAACGGGCCTAGACAGATCAACCACATCAACTCCCTTTGTAACACCTGAAGCTTCGGCCTAGAAGGCCAAGGGCTTTCGATCACCTGCCAACTCTTTGAGAGCACCCCCATGGCCGCTCGACGGAACTGGAGGATGAAGACCCATCGGCCAAGCACAATCTGGGTCTCCTTCCTGCTCCAGAGCTGCTTCCCCAGCAAGTACAGCGTTGCAAAAATGGTCTTGAGGAGTCGCTCGGGCGAAGCGCCCAGCAACCCCCGCCGACCATCCAAACGCACTCCAAGTTCCACCGCTGAGGTACTACCCAGCACCTGCTTGTCTTCCGCTGTCAGGATACCAGCACTGGTCCAAGCATTCATTGCCAAAGCCTGGAGATCTTCGTCAAGAGCCCCCTCGTCCTTGTGCAAGTCCCCCGCCATAAAATTGTCCAAATATATTTGCCACCAAGTCCGCGAAGGGGAAGTAGAATGTTGTACCTGGGCAAACCATGGCGGAGGGGGGCTCCCTTTCTTCAGTTCAAGGTCGGGGGGAAGTCCCCTAGACAAGAGGATTTCCCGGGAAACTGCTTGCATAACTGATACGCTGCTAGACCAACCCATGGGGAGAACCCTGCAGGCCGGTCTATACCAGCGATCACCACGCACGTGAGACAGCCCTAGGTCTCTCCCCCTAATCCTGTAATTGAAACACACATATGGTTGCCAAACGGCAGGAATGGCAAAAAGATAGAAAGCAGCAGTCATATCACTTTGGGAAATTGTGATCTCCTCACCCTGGGACATGCAGATAGGTAACCATCCCGTCGCACTAGGTAATGATCCAATATCACCTTGCAGGACCTTGAACAGACCGTTAATAGGAATGAGGTTCATAATAACTCTCAGAACAGGTTTACCAGACGTAGTGTATTTACCAGATTTGACAACTCCAAATAAACCTGAGAGGTAGGTGCCATGGCTGTCAGAAAAAGCTGTTTCAGCCGGCACCCAATCAATAATCCCCCTGTCATACAGTAAGCCAAAGACCTGGGGTTCCAACCCCTTTTCAATGTGAACCCTGGCTGAGACTGGGGCCGATCCCCTATCTCCTTCTTCCAACAACAGTTGAGATGGATTCTCCATCAAAAACTTCGTACGCCCCTTTAAAAACGGCAAAGCAGAGATACTTCCCCCATGTCCAGGAGGTGGCAAACCCTTGACAATTTGTTCAGGAGAAAGAGGGTGAGGTTGAAGAACTTCTTCACCGCAATAAGAAACCTTTTTCTCGCCTAAGTCCTTAACGACCTGTTCAAAACCAAAATCATGAGCAACTTCCCCTTCTAAAAACCTACGCACTTTCACACGCAGGCTATCCAGCACCACCTCATGCATTTTTCCCGGTTTTCGCTGCATACCCCCTTTAGGGTGTCCATAGAGAGAGTTCATGGCCGCACAGCCAACCGCTACCCAGCACTGTACAGCTGCCTCGGTCAGACTCAACGGCCTTCCGCCAGAGTCCATCCAGAGCTCTCCCTCAGGGAAAAGAATAGGCAGGGGAAACAGGGAGCCCCTACCTGAAGTGGCCCCCCGTGTGGGTCTAGCACGGTCGCTTTCCAGGGAAAGGAAACCAGCTCGAAGCCCCCATGCCAACTTTCCACCGAGTTCAATAAGATTTGAAACCTCAGTGAGCCTCAGCAGCCACTCTGCCCGTGAGTTGGGCCGTGCCGCACGAGAACTCTCTCCGGTGTGGCAGCTCTCAACTTCAGGAAAGCTTGCAATCGTTGAATTCGTGCCCATAGCACCTTCCACAGGCGATGACAACGAGGTCGCAACCTCAGCACCAGTCCCTGGGGTAATATCAATGTCTTGTACTCCATGGGGCTTTGTGCACGGGCCGCCGGGAGCTGACGCCACAGCCCCTGGCAGGCCCAGCACTATGCCTCTGCTTCCTTCTTCTTCGGGTCGCTCGGCTTGTCTTTCCCCTCCTGTGGCCAGGGGGACCAGCCTCCCTTCCAATTTTTGCCTTTTCCTTTGCCCTTCTTGGTCTTTCCCTTTGCTTCCTTTCCTTTTCCTTTTGGCCTTTGCTCGTAGGAGCTCCACTGCGCGGCGGGGCTCCAAGAGCCCTTCCCCCCGGCCTTGTCGACCTGACGTGCATGTTTTTGGGCCGCGAGAAGCACGTGGGGAGGCGCACTGTTTTCTTCCTCCTCTCCATAGACTTCCAAGTGGCGTGCGACATGCCATCCCTGGCGGCCAGCGGTGTCCACCGCAATTAGCCGTGACGCTAAAACGTCCGCCAGTTCGGCGAGCCGCCCTTCTCGAAGGAGGTCGAGGCTCCTCGACAGTAGGGAAAGCTCTTTGCAATCCCGGCTGCGAGCGTCCAGCGCCGGTCTCAGCACCAGCTGGAAAAAGGTCAACATCTTTGGCCTTTGCCCTCGCAGCCCTGCCGCCTCGTAACCTTCCTCCACCACTCCGTCTGCGCTCAGCCGCTCGACCGCTGTCTGCTCTAACATGCGGTACACTGACCCGGGACTCTTCCTCGACCTCTTCTTCAGCGGAGCCATAAGGCTGGCCTCGCTCGAGGAAGAATGGCCGGCCGAGTCTGCGCTCTCCTCCGAGTCTGAGCTCTTCTTCTTGCGCTTCTTCTTCTTCTTCTTCCCTGGCGACCGCGAGCGACTCTTCTTCCGCTTCTCCTCTTTCTCCTCCTGGGCATTTCGCAGCTTGGCTGCTTTGGCCAACGTCATGGCCAAGCTCCTCTTCTTCGTCTTCTTGGCAGCTTCTGTTGACTGCTCGGAGTCTGAGATCCACTGGGGCTCTTCGTCCTTTACCTTTCCCAATGGAGGCGCCACCACAGGGGCGAGGGCACGGTGACCACCACCAGCCCCATCCTTGGCAGCCTCTCGGCCTTCTGCCTGTCTTGAAGCAGAGACCACAGTGGGGTGTGCGGCAAAGGAAACCCTGCGACCAGGACCACGAAGGGCACTCAGCCTCTGTTCGATGGTCGATGGACCACCTGGGACCTCGTCGGCTCCACGATCCTCTGTCGGAAACAGTGGGTCTCTCCCGCTCTCCAACTCCTTTTCTGCGCCCTTCTTCACCAGTTTCTTTGCTGCAGTAGTAAGCCACTCCGCCGTGAAGTCGCCGGGAGGAAACCAATGAAACCTCTGTAGGTGAAGGGCATCTTCGTCGTCCATGGGACAGATTCCATCTGGACCCAGACAACAGATGTGGACCTTTTTTCTGGATCCTTTGAAGTAACCATCCACCTTCTTCTTCTCCTCTGCAGTTTCTGCCCCCAGGCTCTTTACCGTAAGCCACATCCCGCTCTGCCGCGACACGGTCTCTGTGACCAGCACGGCAGCGAGGGGAGGAGCCGACTCCCGATGTTCCGGGTCGACAAAGCTTATCACGGAGCCAGGGGGGATATGCCGCGTTCTCCAAAAGTCTGCCTCGGCTACATTGTAACGAGTAGGCTTCTTTGGTTTGTCTTGGCTTGCCAGCAACGCCGCAATGGCCGCCGGCGAAGACCCTGGAGGGCCTTCCTCTTCCTCTAAATCTCCCAGCCATTCTGCCTCTCCTGAATCAAGCATTGCAAGGTCTACCCGACCAGCAACGCCGTCGTCAGACTCTGCGTTCTAAACCCTCGTTCAAATCACGGGCAAGGCTCAAGTGAGATTGATCCAGCCTGCGATGACTTGACCTAAAGGGATCTTCTCTCTCCCGGCGGTGCCGCTGATGCCGAGTTCCTCCTCTGTGCTTGCGCTTTCCTGTCTTTTTCTTTTTCTTCTTCTTTGGTGGCTCAGGTGGCTCTGGAGGCCTTTCCGATCCACGCGAGTGCCTGTGAGTCTCCGGTGGCTCCTCGTGCCTTTCCTTTACTTCTCGCTCCTCCTTTTTTACCTCTGTGCGAGGTGGTTCTTCTTCAGCTTCCTCCTCGCTCTCTTCGTCGTACGTATATTCCGAAGCTCGTCCTTCTTGATCTCTGTCTCGGTGCTCCCTGTCTCCTCCGTCACGTCGAGGTGGAGGTTCACGGCTGGGCCCAGACCTGAGCAAGGGAGGCCGCTCGTCTCTGACTGGTGTTCTCGACCTTGGCCTCGAAGCCTTGGACTTGGCAGCAAGGCCCCCACGGTCGCCAGCGCCAGTCGCCGGCTCAAGGGTCGAGTCCAAGTTGTGCAGGGCCCTCACGAACCTAGCACAACTAAGAGTGGCCTCCTCGGCTACCGCTCTAACCCCAGCGGATGACCAGCGCCGCTTGAGCAGCTGCAGGGTCACCTCCAAGGACGAGCAGCCGAGACACCACGAGTCAGATTCCGTCTGCCTCCCTGAACGGCACTTGTTACAGGGGGCAGCGCGCATAACCCTTGCTTGAACCTACAAGCCACCATTAAACAAAAAG